TCATTAGAACTGATTCAAATGTATTCTTTTTAATGGCTGAGTAATATTCCATGGTGTATATGTACCACAGCTTCCTTATCCATTCGTCTGCTGATGGGCATCTAGGTTGCTTCCATGTCCTGGCTATCATAAACAGTGCTGCGATGAACATTGGGGTGCATGTGTCTCTTTCAGATCTGGTTTCCTCGGTGTGTATGCCCAGAAGTGGGATTGCTGGGTCATATGGCAGTTCTATTTCCAGTTTTTTAAGAAATCTCCACACTGTTTTCCATAGCGGCTGTACTAGTTTGCATTCCCACCAACAGTGTAAGAGGGTTCCCTTTTCTCCACACCCTCTCCAGCATTTACTGCTTGTAGACTTTTGGATAGCAGCCATCCTGACTGGCGTGTAATGGTACCTCATTGTGGATTTGATTTGCATTTCTCTGATAATGAGTGATGTTGAGCATCTTTTCATGTGTTTTTTAGCCATCTGTATGTCTTCCTTGTAGAAAGGTCTGTTTAGTTCTTTGGCCCATTTTTTGATTGGGTCATTTATTTTTCTGGAGTTGAGCTGGAGGAGTTGCTTGTATATTTTTGAGATTAATCCTTTGTCTGTTGCTTCATTTCCTATTATTTTCTCCCAATCTGAGGGTTGTCTTTTCACCTTGCTTATAGTTTCCTTTGTTGTGCAAAAGCTTTTAAGTTTCATTAGGTCCCATTTGTTTATTTTTGCTTTTGTTTCTAATATTCTGGGATGTGGGTCATAGAGGATCCTGCTGTGATTTATGTCAGAGAGTGTTTTGCCTATGTTCTCCTTTAGGAGTTTTATAGTTTCTGGTCTTATGTTTATATCTTTAATCCATTTTGAGTTTATTTTTGTGTATGGTGTTAGAAAGTGTTCTAGTTTCATTCTTTTACAGGTGGTTGACCAGTTTTCCCAGCACCACTTGTTAAAGAGGTTGTCTTTTTTCCATTGTATATCCTTGCCTCCTTTGTTGAAGATAAGGTGACCATAGGTTCGTGGATTTATCTCTGGGCTTTCTGTTCTGTTCCATTGATCTATATTTCTGTCTTTGTGCCAGTGCCATACTGTCTTGATGACTGTGGCTTTGTAGTATAGTCTGAAGTCAGGCAGATTGATTCCTCCAGTTCCATTCTTCTTTCTCAAGATTACTTTGGCTATTCTTGGTTTTTTGTATTTCCATACAAATTGTGAAATTATTTGTTCTAGTTCTGTGAAAAATACCGTTGGTAGCTTGATAGGGATTGCATTGAATCTGTAGATTGCTTTGGGTAGTATAGGCATTTTGACAATATTGATTCTTCCAATCCATGAACACGGTATATTTCTCCATCTGTTTGTGTCCTCTTTGATTTCTTTCATCAGTGTTTTATAGTTTTCTATGTATAGGTCTTTTGTTTCTTTAGGTAGATATACTCCTAAGTATTTTATTCTTTTTGTTGCAATGGTGAATGGTATTGTTTCCTTAATTTCTCTTTCTGTTTTCTCATTGTTAGTGTATAGGAATGCAAGAGATTTCTGTGTGTTAATTTATATCCTGCAACTTTACTATATTCGTTGATTAGCTCTAGTAATTTTCTGGTAGAGTCTTTAGGGTTTTCTATGTAGAGGATCATGTCATCTGCAAACAGAGAGAGTTTCACTTCTTCTTTTCCTATCTGGATTCCTTTTACTTCTTTTTCTGCCCTGATTGCTGTGGCCAACACTTCCAAAACTATGTTGAATAGTAGTGGTGAGAGTGGGCACCCTTGTCTTGTTCCTGATTTCAGGGGAGATGCTTTCAATTTTTCATTATTGAGGGTAATGCTTGCTGTGGGTTTGTCATATATAGCTTTTATTATGTGAGGTATGTTCCTTCTATTCCTGCTTTCTGGAGAGTTAATCATAAATGGATGTTGAATTTTGTCAAAGGCTTTTTCTGCATCTATTGAGATAATCATATGGTTTTTATCTTTCAATTTGTTAATGTGGTGTATTACATTGATTGATTTGTGGATATTAAAGAATCCTTGCATTCCTGGGATAAAGCCCACTTGGTCATGGTGTATGATTTTTTTAATATGTTGTTGGATTCTGTTTGCTAGAATTTTGTTAAGGATTTTTGCATCTATGTTCATCAGTGATATTGGCCTGTAGTTTTCTTTTTTTGTGGCATCTTTGTCTGGTTTTGGAATTAGGGTGATGGTGGCCTCATAGAATGAGTTTGGAAGTTTACCTTCTTCTGCAATTTTCTGGAAGAGTTTGAGTAAGATAGGTGTTAGCTCTTCTCTAAATTTTTGGTAGAATTCAGCTGTGAAGCCATCTGGTCCTGGGCTTTTGTTTGCTGGAAGATTTCTGATTACAGTTTCGATTTCCTTGCTTGTGATGGTTTTGTTAAGATCTTCTATTTCTTCCTGGTTCAGTTTTGGAAAGTTATACTTCTCTAAGAACTTGTCCATTTCTTCCAAGTTGTCCATTTTATTGGCATAGAGCTGCTGGTAGTAGTCTCTTATGATCCTTTGTATTTTGGTGTTGTCTGTTGTGATCTCTCCATTTTCGTTTCTAATTTTGTTAATTTGGTTCTTCTCCCTTTGTTTCTTAATGAGTCTTGCTAATGGTTTGTCAATTTTGTTTATTTTTTCAAAAAACCAGCTTTTAGCTTTGTTGATTTTTGCTATGGTTCTCTTTAGTTTCTTTTGCATTTATTTCTGCCCTAATTTTTAAAATTTCTTTCCTTCTACTGACCCTGGGGTTCTTCATTTCTTCCTTCTCTAGTTGCTTTAGGTGTAGAGTTAGGTTATTTATTTGACTTTTTTCTTGTTTCTTGAGGTAGGCCTGTAATGCTATGAATCTTCCCCTTAGCACTGCTTTTACAGTGTCCCATAGGTTTTGGGTTGTTGTGTTTTCATTTTCATTCATTTCTATGCATATTTTGATTTTTTTTAATTTCTTCTATGATTTGTTGGTTATTCAGAAGCGTGTTGTTTAGCCTCCATGTTTGAATTTTGCATAATTTTTTTCCTGTAATTGAGATCTAATCTTACTGCACTGTGGTCAGAAAAGATGACTGGAATGACTTCAATTTTTTTGAATTTACCAAGACTAGATTTATGGCCCAGGATGTGATCTCTTCTGGAGAAGGTTCCATGTGCACTTGAGAAAAAGGTGAAGTTGATTGTTTTGGGGTGAAACGTCCTATAGATGTCAGTAAAGTCTAGCTGGTCCATTGTGTCCTTTAAAGTTTGTGTTTCCTTGTTCATTTTCTGTTTAGTTGATCTATCCATAGTTGTGAGTGGGGTATTAAAGTCTCCCACTATTATTGTGTTACTATTAATTTCCTCTTTCATACTCGTTAGCATTTGCCTTACATATTGCGGTGCTCCTATGTTGGGTGTATATATATTTATAAATGTTATATCTTCTTGGATTGATCCTTTGATGAGTGTGTGTATTTTTTTAGTACAGTATAATTTATGTATTTTCTCAACAGTGTATGATAAACATTTTTCATGTTTCTAATGATCTTCATGATTACCCTTTTAGTAATTGCAGAACAGTCTATCTGTTGACATGTGCAATTTCTGTTTATCAAAATGCTGCTTGTTTTGAATGCCATATATTGGTAGAAAAATGTATATAATAATCAGACTGTTGGAAAAAATAACCATAACTCAATTATTTGCCCAAAACACAGATGATTGTGAAAATCTTTAAAATGCACATGAAATGATGTTTTAAAATGCATTTTATGAATACGCTTTTAAACTGCTTTATCTGCTAGTAAACAGAGTGGGGAAAAAGAGCAATAGGTAAGTAAGACGTTGAGGCACTACTTAGGTACTATCATTTGACGAAATCTTTATGACATGATGATACATTGTTGAAGCTCTAATATAATCAAAAGGCAAAACTTGGAGGGCATGGATTATGCTCCTCTTGTCAGAATAACCAGTGATAGGAGTTGCATTTGTTACAATCACCTGGGGCCTTGCTTTGGCTGGTCCTGTTGTTGGTACTATGAAGATACCTCATTCCACTGGACACTCATTGATACTATTTTTATGGGTGATATCTCCATTATTGAGCTGCTGTCTTCCCTTGGTTAAGCACACTGGTAACTACTGATACCAGAGTCTCCCAAAGTTCCAATCCTACCTCCATTAATTGGAAAATCCACTGCAACTACCAAGTTTTTCCTAGGGATCTTGAGAATGAGGTATTGGTGGCTAGTTTTGAAGTCTTTCTTTCCAAGGCTTTTGGTTGAGGTCTTAGGACTTTTGAATGTTGCCTATCCTTGGTGAAAACTAGTGCGCCTCAGTCGGTCAACAGGGCTTCTCTGCTGGCTCAGACGGTAAGGAATCTGCCTGCACTGCAGGAGACCTGGGTTTGATACCTGGGGCGGGAAGATCCTCTGGAGGAGGAAAGAGCAATCAAGTATTCTTGTGTGTAGAATTCCATGGACAGACGGGCTACAGTCCATGGGGTGGCAAAGAGTCAGACACAACCAAGTGACTAACTCTCACACACACACACACACACACAGTGGGTCAGCATTCTTCTGTAATATCTCCATTTATTACATGGGTCTTATACTATGAAATCATTTTGAATAAATATAGAAGTTTACATCTGTCATTTATTTTTTAATTAATGTTTATAACATAATGCTTTCATAGACTCCAGATAACTAAGACAGTAGAATTATCTTACAATATGCTTGAGTTTATATTTATGCTTATATTTATGCTTATTTACTTTTTCAAACTAGTGTTTAGTATCCTGTTCCATTTCAATTTTGTAGTTTGTGTTTTGGCTCTATCTAATGTTTTCATTGTGACATGGGTTTCTTTTGGCATTTCACACTTTATAATTGAAATGTTATCAGAAATAATAAGCAATGCATGCATAGTGAGAGCATTTACATATCACTGAGGCTAGTACATTTCATTTTTATTATAGTTATAATTTTGAATCTGAAAATATATAGAAAGAAATAATTTTTTTTGTTCCTATGCAGAAAAGATGAAAAAGAATATGCATTGAAGCAAATTGAAGGCACAGGAATATCTATGTCGGCTTGTAGAGAGATTGCAGTAAGTGGACATAAATGTTATTTATTTTGTTATTGATGTTGGGTGATGATATTAACATAAATGCTTCATTAATGTATACAATGCATGGTTATTTCAAAAATGTTAGTTTAAGAAAATTTTCTATGAGAAAAGTTGCATAAACTTTTTAATTACTTGAAAGTCATCTTTGAACATTCTCTTAATTATATTTAGGATTTATAATCTTAAGAATACAGAACTGAATGACTTTTTAATTGATTTAAATTATAATTGAGTATAACTATTAATTTAAATTAGTAATTTAATTAATGTATATCTTTCCTGTAATTTTAGGACTGATACATGTCTTTATAGAGAAGGGGGTGATACTGTTCATAGTGTGCCTATTAAACGTTTTCTGAAGAATTCATGTTTTAGTGTTACATTTTGCTAGTTGCTAAATAAAAAAATAAGACTGTCATAATAATAGGATAATTCCTTAAAGAAAGATCATTTTTTTTTAAATCTTTATATGACACACCTGTACATTTAAGAAATGATTGTCCATAAGAACACCTAACATTTCCTGAGTATTTACCAGATACTATGCTTACTAAGTGCTTTTAAGTATTAATTTAATTTTCTTAACAATCATATGAAATAAGTACTTTTAGTATCCCCATTTTTACAAATCAGTAAGCAGAGGCAAAATCATAATTGTGGCTTAGAAGTCTTAATATTATATTACCTTATTTTAGTTCTTCAGTTTCTTATTTTAGTGCTTTAGTTTCTTATTGGGCCTTTATCATGATCACTGATCTATTAGGAATTTCTGTCTCTAAATTATTAAATATATTGTCCATATCCATTAGGCATTTCTGTCTCTAATTTGGTAACTATCTCATGTTTTACTCACAGTTCCTTATTTGTAGTTCACTCACATTGAAGCACTCCATCATCACTCTTAATCATAAGAAAATGAATAATGCAAAGAACACACGAGGCGGGATTTCTATAGACCTGAGTGTCTGCCTTTGTGGTTAAACTAGCTGTGAGTCTCAGTTTCCTTATATTGAAATAAGGGAACTATAAGGTCTCTTCTACTCATAAATTCTTTGATTTCAGGATGGGGGCTTCTCACTAGGCTGTGTACACTTTGGGGGTAGGGACCTTGTCTTTTTGTCCCTAGTTTCTTGCATAGTACCTGGCACATAGTAGGTGCCCCATAAATGCTTGTTGAATAAATCAATGAATAAACAACAAAGTTCTTTATAATCCTTAGTTTGCCTTAGAATATAAATTTATTGTTTAAAGTGTTCATTTTGTCATTTTCCCATTAATTATAAATTGGTGTTTATAATGCCCTACCAGAGTGAACATTTGATAATTGATTTTTTATTTTTATTTTTTTTGATAATTGATTTTTAACTCCCTAAAATTCAGAGTATTATTTCAACCAATGTGAATATTGCTGGTATGCAATTTTGCTAGAGTTCCATAATTTAATACAGCATTAATTCAGTGTCCATGAATTAATTGGGTAAATAGCTGAAATTTAAGGTATTGATTATTAGGAAATGAAAACCCAATTCTGGAGATCTTCTGAGGAATCCATGGATTCCCTTTTCCCAACATCCCCACTGACATTTGTTACATCTTGTCTTTATGGTGATAGTTACCTTAACAGATGTGAGGTGACATCTCACTGCGGTTTTGATTGTGTTTCCTTGGTGATTAATGACATTGTGCCCTTGACGTATCTGCTGGCTGTCTGTGTATCTTCTTCTTTGGAAGAAGTCCTTGTTCAGTTCCTTTACCCATTTTTGAGTTGAAGGATGATACTGATGATTTTTGCTGTTGAGTTGAATACATTCCTGATATGTTTTGGATACTAACCACTTATCAGATAAATAGTTTGCAAATAGCTTCTCATACTTTGTACTTCTCATACTTTCCTTTTTATTTTGTTCATTGTTTCTTGTTGTGCAGAAGCTGAAAAAACTTAACTCTGAAACTCATTTACAGTCTTCATATTTTTATTGAGGGTTTGCTTAATAGAACTTTAGAAAGTATGCAATTTCTGAATTGAATAATTTTTTATATTACCTGGATAACTTAGCCCCAACATGATAGGGATTTTGACATGAGTTTAACATGTATGTTATTGCATAGTGGCTAAGTGCATACATCTTTGTACATTATAAGCTCACAAACACAGTCTTGTAATTATTGCTTACTGCAGTTGTCTTTTAAATCACACAGAAGAAAAATAGTTAAAATATACTTAATGCTATTTCTTCTGTTTACTCATGTTGCCACTGTTGCCAGTGATCTTTATTTTATGTGTAGATATAAGGTACATAAGTCCTTTGATTTTAACCAAAAGTCTCCATTTAGTATTTTTTTTTGTAGTGCAGATCTTCCGGGAGTGAATTTTCTGTTTTTGTATTTAGGAATATCTTAATTTCTTCTTTTTTTCCCTTTATCACTTGTTTCTCCTTTGTTTTTTGCAGAATAATTTTGCCACATATAGAGTTCTTGAATGACAGTCTTCCTTTTTTCACTTTGTCTATGTTATCTCACTGCCTTTTAGCCACCATGGTTTCTGATGAAAAGTCAACTGTTAATTCATGAGAGTCTTGTACATGAGGAGTTATTTTCTTGCTATTCTCAAGATTTTCTTTTTATGTTTGTCTTTTGACAATTTGACTATGATATGTGTAGATGTGAAGTCTAATTGGAGTCTGTTGTTTCTTGGGTGTAGAGAGTAATGTGTTTCATCACATTTGGGAAATTTCCAGCCATTATTTCTTCAGATACTCTCCCAGCCCTTTTCTGTCTCTCCTCTCTTTTCGAGACCGCCATTGTGTGTATGTTTTTAGTCTTGATGGTGTCACACAGGGCACCGACACACTGATGATTTCTGCTAATTCTTTTTCTGCTTATTGCTTAGACCGGATACTTTTAATTACCTATCTTTGTTGGCTGATATGTCTTTTGCCAGCTCAATATGCTCCTAAGCCTCTCTCCAGTGAAATATTCATTTTAGTTATTTTACTTTTCAATTCCAAAATTGCTATATGGTTGTTTTTTCTTTTAATAGACTTTATTTTTTAGAGCAGTTTTACTTTTACAGCAAAACTGAGTAGAAGTTCTAGAGATTTCCTGCACAGTCCCTACCTTCACACGTGCATAGCCTAATTCATTATCAACCTCGTCCACCAGAGTAGTATGTTTGTTACAACTGATGAATCTATGTTGCTGCCCAAAGACAATAGTTTACATTAGGGGTCACTCTTGGTGTTGTATATTTTATGGATTTGGACAAACGTCTAATAACATGTATCCACCATTATGATATCATGCAGAATAGTTCCCCTGCCCTAAAAGTCCTCAGTGCTCTATTGATTCATCCGAGACCATCCGCCTCCTCAGATAGTCACAGATCTTTTTACTGTTTACATAATTTTGCCTTTTCCAGAATGTCATATAGTTGAAACACTATAGTATGTAGTCTTTTGAGATTGGCTTCTTTCCCTTAGTAATAGGCATTTAAGATTCATCCGTATCTTTCATGACTTAATAGCTCATGTCTCTATGGTACTGAGTGATATCCATCATCTGGATGTATTACAGTTTGTTTACACATTGATTTACAGAAGTACATCTTGGTTGCCTCAAAGATTTGGCAGTTACGAGTAGAGCTGCTGACACTCTGTGTGGGCTTCTGTGTGGACGTGACTTTTCAGTTCCTTTGGGTAAATACCAAGGAGCAGGGTTTCTGGACTGCATGGTAATAGGATGTTTACCTATCTTCCTAAGTGACTAGACTGTTTTGCATTCCTACCAGCAATGGGTGAGAGTTTCTTTTGCTCCACAACCTTGCCAAATTTGTTGTTGCCAGTGTTCTGGATTTAGTGTTCTAATAGGTTTGTAGTAATATCTCATTGTTATTTAATAAAACTCTGCTTTAGCCATTAAGTCTTGCTTGTATGGCTTTAAGAGCTGTGCGATTAGAGTCTTTCAGATAGTTCTTGGACATACCCACAGCTTTGCATACGGACATGGTTACAGTCTTTACTACCCAGTTCCATTTATAGAAAATTCTAGAAAGTGCACACTGATCTGTAGTGGTGGACAGTTGATCAGTGACTGTGTGCAGGTGGGAAAGAAACAGTGGTGTATTACAAAGGACAATGAGGAGTCTCTTGGAGGTGATGTAAATCTCCATCATTGTGATTGTCATGATGGTTTCCTGGGCTTGTATCTATAATAAAACTTGAAGATGGTATACAGTTATACCTCAGTAAATTTGGGGGAAAATTAATAAAGGTGTATGGGATTATTAGTGGGTCAAGGGTCTGTTAAAGAGGAATTTGTAAGATTCTGTGGATCACAAGCACAGCTGGAGGGATTGGCCTTGAATAGGAAATGGAACAGATAGTTTATCCTCGAAACTACAGAGGCAGAAGAAAGGATGATGTCAACACTCGTCAGTCCACGAGGGAGATGGTGAAGTAGGTACATTCTTGTATGCCTCTCTTTTGTGTATGTGAATGTGAATCTTAAATGATGAATGTTTTTAGTTATTGATGAAGGCTATGTGAAAATTTGCTGATCAAAGATAAGATTATAAAAGTGTTATAGTCTGCCTAAAGTAGGAGACCAGTCATGTCACTAGTCTGCATGACTGTGTTGTTTTCTTTATTTTAAGCCCAGTATAAGAAGGGAGAATTGGAGTTTTTCTGGTTGATGAGGTGGAAGGACAGAAAATGTAAGGTGGTTGAGAGTCAGAGAGGTTAGGAGGGACTGATACATTGGGGAGAATGTAGACAACACCATAAATTAAAAGGCAGATAAAACTTGTTCTTTGCCTTTTCCTTCGATGTCCCATAATATTATCTGCCTCCTGGCATTTTCTCATTTATATAGAGACATAGATAAGAGGCCTTTGATTTGGATAAAATTAGTAACATTTCACTCATTACTCTAAAATGATGGGACTGTGATTACAGACACCTTCTGAGTGCAGAGCTGGATGA